TTTTTTTTTTTTTGGAGAGGTTTTTGCTATATGGCACGTGCACTTGCCAGAGAGACAGAGAGACAGAAAGCGAGAAATCATCCCCCAGGGGGATGGCCACACCGCAATCCCTTCTCCTCCATTCCCCTCTCGGGATCTTAGGCACGCACGCACACATGCCCAGTGTGAGTTTTAAGCCACCAGGTCTGGGACTCGAACCGCAGTCAACTACATGGGAGTCCAGCCACATAGCCATTACGCTAACTGCTGGTCCCAATGATCTCTTTTAAACAGCAGCAGGGATGTGACCATGCCCACTACACGAATGGCCCGAGGAGGCACGGTGAGGTTAGCTGTGCCCGGTCACCCACGGCTAACCCTGCTCCCAGTAAACTCAGTCCTGCAGACAGAGAGGAAGTTTCTCCAGGTGTGAAAAACCTACGTTTGAAAAGTGGCGATTTCTTTCCTCACCTTTCCACATTTCCAGGTGCCTGATTCTTACTCTGCCTTCCTGAAATTACAACTGAAATGACTTCCCCCTTGCTTTTTCTCTTGTCCCTGTCCCTCCCCCCCTTTCTGCTTCCCAGCAGGTGCACAGACACACGAACATGCATGCCCTGTAGGATTTAGCCCTCAGATTCCCAGAGGCCCCACTGACTGTAGCCCTTAAACAATCTCAAAGATCCCTCATTCAAAACAGGGGGCACCCCTCACTTACAATTCCACTATCAGGTCCAGGAAACCAACCCTTTGCTTACTGAGCTGGTCACACACCAAAGACAGGGGTTGGGACATGTTCTAGCGCGGCCCCGGTGGGACATCTGAGCTCTCTCTCGAGTGTCCTAGAAGCTCTGAGAGTTCCCTGCCAGAGGAAAGCAGAGGACGGCATTGGTGTCCTCTAAGAACCTCAAGGTGGCTTGTGGCCACCATGTTGTCCACAGAGATGCACAATCGTGGCACCCCAGGTTCTTGAGCAAAGCAAGGAGGGGCTCCTCCTAAGTGCGTTCCCAGATGCACACGCCCAGCCCTGGCCGCCATGCTACGACCGTCCAGCACAGAGCCTGCAAACACCGTGTCGTGCCGCCAGCCAGCCTGAGCGATTTGGGCCGGAAGATTTAAATAACCACGGGTCTGTTTCCAGATCCTGGCTGCAGCCTAATGACGCTGGAAGGGAGCCAGGCCCGTCAGGAGAGCCAGAAGGAGAGCCTCTAAGCTAATGAGGGCGGCCCCTGGAGCGAGTGCCAGCGAGGACTGGCCTCCCATGGCAGAAAACGCACCCGCAAATGCTCATCCGCCGTGCCATTCACATGGAGGTTGTCCACATTTACAAATGCAAGAAAAACCCACGTCGTAGCGGGCTCACTTCGACCATCAGACAGT